GAGCATGAGTGCGATACGAGTGAGACATATACACACCTCAGTGTGCATAGAAGAATTCTGAGGTGTGCTACCAGCCAGTACGAGCTATATACGAAAGATAAAGTGAGCTTAGGTAATGAACCGGCGAAGAGTTTAGCGGAAAGCTCGTATGAAGAAGTTGTCCGCTGCATGTGGTGATAAGAACAAGAAGGTAATACGATGTCTATTGTAGACAAGCAGTAACAACACTCACTTTCATAATCGGAAACCCATATATAATAAGCCGAGTGAACACCCGCTCATTGAACGTTTGGGGAATAGTCTCTTTACTCGAGGGGATGTTTGGAGGTGTAAACGCTATCTATTGAACTTTGAGAAGTGATGCCATGTTCATGAAGGAACGATTGACCTTTCAACGGTTACTTTTTATGCCTGTACGGCCACGAATTCGTGAGTACCCATCATGTTACCCAGGAATTGTCAAATATAGCCAGGGTTTCGCTGTTTCCTCTTACGAAGTGTTGTCTGCGTAAGAACCCGACAATCTCTAGTGTGGCATTCGAGGTCGGACCATATTAGCAATTTAGCAAGCAGATATCACTGTCTTGCCTAATTTCTTGTTTCAAATATACACTACTTTGAGCCTGCGCTAGAAGATTCAGAGATACGGCGCTTGCTCGAAATTTCTATGATGACTCAAAGGACTTCACTTTGAGGTGATCTTGATATTGGCTAATAGCCCACTAGTGACGGGAGCGATGTCCAGGTCCCGTCGAAGTCGGTAGATGTTCTGCGCCCTTGCAGTGCGTGCCCGTTCCACCGGAGGAAAATATATGCCTGTATTCAAGTTAGGATCCAGGAAATCAGAGATCTATATGTAGTTGTTTCCGATGTCGGAATCGCCTCGCCCTCGGTGGTTCTAAGGGGAGTAGGATTCTCCATGATTAGTATCATGATCACGGCGGGCCTGAGTCTCCATTTATCACTCCATTTGTCACGGTATACTTCAAGAAAAAACCATATACGCACTTGTAATCTCGACAGGCACGATGTCCGGCCATTGGAGTCGATAGCAATTCTGCAAGAAAAGAATATATATGAGCTCCGTATCAACATAGAACTGGAGGAAAAGACATGGTAAAAGAAGCTTACATTTGAGCCGTTGGGATCCTCAATATTCAATGGTCACAGGTATATACATAGTTGTTTCCGAATCCCATGTTGGAACCGCCTCGGTGGTGTCAAGGGGAGCCGAGGTACTATACTCCATGAATATGGCCCGGCCACTGGGCGAAACTGCCACCTGAATTTCCATTCGTATGCTGGAAGAAGTAACCATAACCACCGCACCTAGCCTAGTACAGCCTCTCGTGAACAGCACGGAACATCGAATCCTCCATATCGTTACCGTTCTTGAATGCAATTCAGATGTGTAGGATACCAAGCAGTTAGTTCGTTCCGGTTCATGCTGAGTGAAAATGATTCATGGTTGACATTGTAGCCGTGAGAACTACAGAAGTATGTAATTCTGCTCTACACCACGAAAAAATCGAATTGTCGGTACATGGCCATGGATGTATGCAAGCTCAAGTCTAGATCACAATTGTCAATGAGGAGGTCCTGGGACACGGTGTTCGGACAGCTTTTTTGGAGTCAGTCATAATACTAGCGCAAGTACCAATGCTATTGCTTTCAGCTATCTCATATTGAGCGTCATGCAATTATGACAGGTTGCGTTGCTACTATATCTAAGCATTTTCCTGCTGATATTCTCACCCATGCCCACAGCATGATGAGCCACCAGACGGAAGCCGGTGGCATAGAAGCACTGCGATATTCTTCGTCGCCATTCAGCAATGTCCTGGTTCCCCGACTGCTCATCAGCACTCGACTCAGCTTGATTATGTATCGACCTCTAGAGTGACAGACCTCAACGCTGTGGCAATCGCATATAACCCCGATGCAAATACTTATACCCCGCCTGTTTTGCTGCGAAAACAAATTTACTATTTTGCTTGCCAACACAACGCATATTGCTCATAATAAACCTACATCGGCGTCGCTGAGTCCCAGCTGTTTTACTCCAAACTATCTATTCTGTAATGTCCAGGCCAACGTCTGTCTGGACGGGGGAAATGACCTGGATACTAATCTCACGATGCCGAGCCTACAATGTGGTCACATCAGACCGTTCCAGTGTTCAAACAAAGAACACGTACCCATGTCACAGTAAGCCGATCCTGTTCCAAGAATATCCTGGACCCGGCTGTCAAAAATGGCGTACGACAGACCGTTGCAATGTATGCACGATTCGAGAAGATGTCTTCACCAAAGGAGTCAATGATCTGACCCGGCTTGCAAATGCGAAGATCCGGTGAGTCAGGATCGTTGACACTTTCCGAACGAGCAATGGCTCGCTTATTGAAGTCCCAGATATGCACATAGAAGTAACCCTCGCTGGAGAGCCCTTCCAGTGTTTGACGAGGATCAGGAATACGATCTTGGGGAAGAGCATAGGCCATCTTGCTGCCAAAAACGCTGATATGGTGGCTTGTGTGGTGTGGAAAGTGGGACGCATACTGAGGTCCCCAATCTGACCAGGAAATGTCGACGAGCATATCTGAGCGCAGGGCCATGTCAGAGAAGATGGCCATGTCGATGACTAGAATAGATTCCCCTGCTCTTGTAACAGACTCTAAAACCATAATTTGCGACTCCAAGGAGGGTACATAGCTCGGCATGAGTCCTGGATGTGCTGCTTTGCCATGCAGTGACGGGTGGCCATGAACCCTGATGCGCGAGTCGTATAATGATAGATGGAGGATCTTGGGAAGGTGATATATGATTCGGCACTGAGGCGACCCATTGAACCCTTGTAACGTGTACAAGTATATCGATTCTGGGCCAATGATGACAAACTTCTGTTCATCAACTGGATAGAACAGATCTAACTTGCAGATATCCAGGTGACATAAAAAATGCTGCTTATGCTGAGTAGCAGAATTTGCACAAACAGAGGGAACTCACCCTATTCACATATCCCTTCCTCCAATTGATGACTTGTATGAACATGCCGGGCACATGCTCATAATCGCAGCAATCCATGATCTCTATGTGATAGAGGATAAATACGTGATCACCACAGATTACAGGTGGCGACATAGCAGCACGGTAATCGCCAGGTGTACTCGGAAAGGTATGCTTGCACTCCAAGAAAGTGCACTCGGCACTCGGATGTGGACGCTGGGATGAAGCCAGTCGGAACTCCACCCGACAGACACGGTAATCTTGTTCCGCATCGGTCACAGTGACACAACGATTAGAACGCACAACCATAAGATCCTGCAGAGGGTCGAAGGTAGTAAGAGAGCCCTGGGCACCACCGCCGATAGACCATGTGCTGGAGAGTGTAGGATTCGTGCCACAACCTTGAATGTAGAATTTCGTTCCGTCCAGCGAGCGAGACCACCAAAGCCCACATTTTACATCTTGGATCCGTAACATGCGTCCCCATGTGGCAGCAGCAGTAGTGACCACTGTTTCAAAGGTAGTGGTCGCATGGAAGTCGGATCGCCACAAAGATGCCAATTTCTTGAGCGAACACAGAGTCTTTCTGGAAACGCCGGTCGAATCCATGGTAGCGGTCCCAGTACTAGTCAAGCCCTGAGCATAAATTTCAAGCTTGTATTGAATGTAGACAGAATTCCGGACCACAAGCCAAAAGATATTGCATGTCTAGCATGATCAAACGTTAGCCATGGAGGAAATTGTGTTGAACTACGGGGAATAGCGAACCATTGCACAGCGACTAATGTCCCTGGGGTTAAGGAGGATTAGAATGTGACATATGAGCTCTGTAGGAAGCGACAAGAATCCGACCGTCGTAGTCATGGTTGTAGGACTGAAGAGAGGACTTCGAATCTGAAAATTTTAGGAGGCCTCTCCTCTCAGAATCCATCACGTCGGGCGGGCGGGCCGCCCGCCCGCCCTCACTGTGACTGGAGCCTTGAGGGGACAAAATCGCATCGAAGGCAACAGGAGCAACGAAACAAAATTCATCTAAAAACAAGCGAGCTCGTCGTCAGCTACTAAGCTGTTACTACAAGTTAACCTGAATAAGGCCAGATAGTGGCCAGACATGCTTCTTGTGGCAAGGCACGGAGTTCCATCAAGCACGTCAATTGGCACCCCCGCGCAATTGAGTAAGCAGCCCTGAAATTATTGGGTCAGTGATGAACTGTGTTCACACCCGGGATGGGAGATACCTCGCATATGGCGCTTCGTAGATGGTCTCATACATAGCTCCAGATTCTCCGGTACGTGCTCAGCCATATTCCAAGTTGACTACTTAGCATGTCACGACTCACGACTAGGTCTTCCTCTCCAGTATCGCCAATACAACCATCACACTGGGTCGAAGCTACGTCCGGGGCCGGTGGTGATTGATTGGTCGGGGGGATCCGTGCGGTGGCGATTTGTTCAGGTAAACCTTGCACTTTATCTTGCAAAGGGCACAAATGTTAACTATAAGTAGTCTTCCGAGTCTTTTCATACTTCGGCGCTGTCTGTACTTTCTTATCTTTTCAGGCGCCCGCCCTCAGCTAATTTCTTCTGAAACTTCCACCTCTCGGCATATCCCTGCAGCAATTGAGACCATTTCGCTGCAGCAACACCCCAGGCTCAGTTTCTTCACATGGCACACAGGCCCGGACCAGTCTACCTGAAGAAAACAACAACAGGTAGGTGATATATTAGGTGCTTATCGTTCTGCCATATGCATAACCAAATCTCCAGAAGGTCTACGTAATGCGCGTCCCTTGTGAAAGCCAACGCTTAGGCCGGTCAGCCGTCCTCAGCAATCCCACCTGCGACACAACCAAACTCGACGTCACAGCCTCCGGCTCAGGCATAGACGACGACACAACAAGCTGCTCAAGAACAAAACTGTGGTTATTGCAAGTTTTATACCCGAGAAACATCACACTAGCCTTTTTCCCTCCCATATCTTGATCCCTAAACATTTGGCCTACGTCGAGTGGTTTTCGCCATTCACCGGGACAAGCGAGAGAAATCATGGTATGCACAAGGTCTCGCGATCATACGAAAATGGGGAACAGCTAGTTAGTATAATATCTGTGAAAGATATTCGACGCAGTGTACATCTTATACCGAAATTTGGCCGCTCTGCGCCTCGGGATTGGACTAGCAGCAATGTTTTGGAACTGTGTAGAGACTTTTTTGTTAGCCCATTCACTGATCGTTACGCATACGCAACTATTTACTAGCTTTGTTGACAACTTTTGAAAATATTATGCGAATTTCGAGAAATTTTTGTCGCATTTGCAAAATTCCCGCGGGAGGTTTTCCCTGATGCTGCCTCTGCTACTCAGCCTGGTCCCTCGTTACTCTAGCGTGCGTTTGTTGACATTTCTTCATCAGCACGTTTATGTTGATCGAGGACATGTGCCTTCACGACCGATCGCACATAGTCATTCGTCGATGTTGAGAAAGCAATGACTTCTAAATTCTGTATAATGTTGAATTTCAGTCTCAAAACCGTCGCCCATCTCTTCTCGATTCGGTTCCCATCGTTTCCTACAGAGCTCATCTGTTACACCTTACCCTCAGGAACGATTGTCGTTGTGCAATGGTTCTCCATTTTCTGCAGGGACACGTTGCTGATATTTCTTCTGACAGCGTTGACACTCCCGTCAGAATGTCATAATGAAGATATGACACTTCGAGTGTACAAATCTATCCGGAGAGCTCCCTCTATCGAATGGCCTACAATCTTTCCTAACTGGCCCACTGGCAGCTGAGAATCGACGGCCCAGATGAGTTCCCGAACGCAATTTGTCAGCTCCTCTATGTTGTCTTCATTCCTATTGGAGACTCAGGTCGGCAGTGGTCCATGTCTCGAGAGCATTATCATTCGTATTTGTATCCACAGTGAAGCTTTGCACTGGGCCAAGGCCGTGACACGTTAAATACGATATTCGAATTGATTCTCACATGTTGAACGACGACAATGCAAGCAGGTGAGATTGACTGTAAGATTGTTCCAACAGGAGCCACAAATTTCAAACTCCTTGCTTCGCCTGCGAAATCACTCCAGATCGACCAGTCTGACTCTGGTTGTTGAGCTTATACTGTCTCGCAGCATGACAGATTCAATACGTTGAAACACGGTAATCTTACTATAACCATGTGTATTCTATGGCATGGTTATAAAAGATCGTGGATCTGGAGCTGGATAGTACTTACCTCCTTGTCCGGCTTCCCGAGCAAAACAAGCCTATTCTCGTCTTTCTCGACCTCTGACAGCAAGGTCCATGTCATATTCTCGGACCAGTGGACATCGGGGATAGGAGGGGGCGGCGGAACCTTCTTTCTCATGGCGTTAACGAAACTCGGGTGGCAGAGGGGGCGCTCGATAGCACTTGGCTGACGCGACAGTGCATGTGACGGTGCATTCGTCATCCCACTGTTCTAACGTATGTACGCTACAACAATGGGATGACGAGAGGGTAACATCTCCCATTTATGGGACAAGCTGTGGCTTACTATCAAGTCGAGCTGCAGCTGCGGCAACACTAGAGTCCGACAGGTCCCACTCCCATGCCCTGGTTGTCACGTAAGAAGCATGAGTGCGATACGAGTGAGCCTCAGTATGCATAGAAGAATTCTGAGCCAGTACGAGCTATATACGAAAGATAAAGTGAGCTTAGGTAATGAACCGGCGAAGAGTTTAGCGGAAAGCTCGTATGAAGAAGTTGTCCGCTGCATGTGGTGATAAGAACAAGAAGGTAATACGATGTCTAACGTCAACCCCCTCAGCGATACACCAGGCGCAAGCTTGCGAGGAACAGTGGCCGCGAGCGAGAGCCTCGGTAAGTATGTCCGCACCTCAGGCATCACTTTCGGTACTAATAAAGGGTCTAAGAGACCCACTTTCTATGTCACGGAAAAGTAGTCCAAGAGATCCAACCTCTCTACCATCTATTAATACCACGCCCCTTGCTATTCTTTTGCACCTCTTGCGGCGTGGCCCTGGCGCCACCACCGGTAGGCCCGCAACAGTCTTTGCTGGAAGATAACAACAACAGGTAAGTGGTGTATGAGGTGCTTTTCATTCCGCCATGTGCATAACCAAACCTCCAGAAGGTCTACGTGGTGCGCGTCCCTTGAGAAAGCCAACGCCCAGACCGGTCAGTCGCCGTCCTCAGCGGCGATTCTATCTGCGGTACAACCAAACTCGACGTCACAACCTCCGCTTCAGGTAAATTGCATATGAAACATTCTCGCCGTTATTTTCAGCCATCTCATACTGAGCGTCATGCAGGTTGCTACTATATCTACGAATGTAAGCATTTTGCCGTTGATACTCTCACCAATGACCACAGCCTGAGCATGATGAACCACAGGGTGATACTGATGGGAGCCGGTGGTATGGAAGCACTGCAATATCCTTTAGCCATCTAGCAATGCGTCCTGGTTCCTCGACTGGTCACCTGTACTCGAGAATATTTCTCTCAGCTTGGTTGTGTATCGGACAGACTGACAGAGCTCAATGCTATGGCACTCGCATGTAAATTCGCACACTTGATTCACAGTAATCTATGATATTATCATTCTATTGGAAAAAATAGATGACGAACAGCGACAAAGCAGGTCAAAGTGACAGTATCAATGAAGCTATCCACTCACAGGAGCACTATTTGGTCCTCCGGGATGAACTACGCTGAATGGATGGACAACACCTGAGTATTGACACATTGAAGTTCTGTGACTCGGGAACCAAGCTCAGAACGATCAATAGTACGGCAGCGCGTAGCCAGTCTGCATACTATTGATCACATTTGTTCAGTATTTCATATTATGAAGCTCGTTCACTTTGGGGCAAGGGAGTTAACGAAGTCTTGCGAACGAGAAGGCTCGGACTAGGAAAGAGAAAGACACACAGTCTTCGATTGAAGGGCAAAGGGAAGTGATCCCAAACAAAAGGACGCTGCCACGAAGGAGAAGGAAGATCGTACAAGGAGTGGTTGTACTCATAGAATGAAGTGCGTACGGAGAACATATCTTGCCCTACAAAAAAACAAAGCACAATATTTAGTACAAGCCGAGAAAAGATCATCTGTGAAGACAACAAAATGTTTGTTTCAAAAAAGATTAACCTGCCATGTAACTGTAGAGCTGGGCTCCCATAGACAGCCCTTCATAGACGAAGGAATATTGACGTTCCCTCTGATAGGGGAGAGTTGTAGACGGTTCTCGCCGCACAATGATAGCATGATCCGTGCGCTTTGGGTTTAGTAAACACCAGGTATCAGCCGGTACCTTACTGCCTTTGCCCACGCCTCCCACTCATCTCTGAAACCTGATTTCAGGATTTCATCCTCCTGACTGACCCTGAACACGACGCTTATCGTAAGAAGAGCGATCTCCGCCAGCCATGCTACCACGATCACTTTCAGTCCAGGGATATCCAAAACGCCTGAGTATCTAAGCCATGAATTGGCCGATCCGTGTAGGATCAATAGGCCTATGATCTCTGCCAGGCCTGCCGTATAGGCTGGATGGCGTATGACCGCATATGGCCCGGTCGTTATAACGTGTTGCCCTTCACGGACACTGAGTTGGAAAGTGAAAAAACGACCGAGGGTGCGATAACACCACCAGCGGATGAGACCCCCCGTGATAGCGAGTGCAGTGCCGAAAACAAAAAGGAAAGTAATGGGTGTGTCCTGTATCGCGGAAACAGAGTTGGGGTCTGTTGTATGATAGGCGATAGTAGCGATTTCTGCGAAGGAAACAACCCAGTAAAATGCCTGGTGCATGGTTCTATGAAATGTTCGTGGGCAGGCGACATGAATTACCTTTATGGTCGGAAACCCGTATTTAACAAGCAGAGTGAAGATCCACTCGTTGAACGTTTGACGAACAACCTCTTTACTTGAAGGAAGATTTCCGGTCGTGAACGATACGTGCAGCGCAATAGCAGACGAGAGAATCAATGGAACTTTGAGAAGGGACTCCATGATTATGAAGCTCGAGCCTTTCAATGACTGCTTTTATACATACCTCGCTCAGGGTGCAATCGAGGGCTTGACTTCCTCCAACGGCGGCGGTATCATACTGTGAAAGCGGGCGTCAGTGAAACAGGGTGCGGGATGGAGCCTTAGAGTATGTTGTTGTGTCATCAGTCCTACATCCTATCATCGGTACATGCACCAGGCGCAAGCCAGACCAGGGTCCCGACTCTACGCAGCGGATAATCTCAGTTTCCTTTGCTAAAACGGTTTTGAAATGTAGGATGGAAAGGAATCGTACTAGTTTCGCGCGATTATTACGCTCGATGGTCCGCTTGCGCGTACGTTGAGGTACATGGACATGATTCCCCGACTCCACTTGGAACTCACTAGGTCCGAATTTGTCATTTGAACACCCTAGATTAGCCAAATTTGTGGATCAACACGCCAGATAGAAGAGTCGAAGATGAACCTGCATTCAAGCGCTTACTAGAAGTGTTTCCATTATCATTGCTTACAAGGATAAATTTCGTTTCCCAACTGAGCTCAAACAGAATCGGCAGTCTCCTGGTAAGACCTACAGAAGAAGACAGTCGTTCCTAAGAAAATAGGTAAGTTCTAACCAAATGCAGGATGTGAAGCCCGAAGTTTTGTAAGTGTGGAAGTTCTCGTCGTTCGCAAGTTGCTCGAAGGAGTGCGAAAGCTGGATATGGTAAGTCATGTAAGTTCCCCGAAACATCCATAATACACAGGTTGAAAATGCGAGGAGAAGATTCCACGAACAGCTCGAGTGATAGTTTGAGAAAGACCTACTAGCTTACAGGCGCGATGTCCACGTCCCATCTAACTTCCGCAGAATCGGTCTTTGGCACCCTAGAGGACAAACTCCATAGAGGTCGTAGAATCGTAGACACGGAGGTAAGACATAATAGAGTCATCAACGTGTCTGACCAATCAAAGAAAGTCGTTTCCCGAACTGTCAGAACTGTCCTGTTCCGCCGAAAAAAATATGTAGCGTCAAGATGAACAGTATTTCTCCACAAATTTCTGGGATGGTGGGCAAGAATGAATTTCCATTCGAATGCTGAAAGACTACAAACGTACCTCCAGCCTCTCGCGAGCAGCACCAAACGTGGATTCCTCCATCTTATTACCGTCCTTAAATGCGATGAATGTAGGATACTGAGAAGCCATACAGATTAGTGATCGGCGTACGACGATGGATGTGTGCAGATATTTACGCTCGTTATGCC